AGGGAGAGGGAGAGGGAGAGGGAGAGGGAGAGGTTAGCTTCCAAATAAAGGATCTATAGCTCAAAGACTTATGGAAAAATGGACTAACCCCAGTTCGAGGCATGGGATGAGGTAGCCATGGGCATGAGCTGAACAGGTCTCCCTGCAGGGATCCCAGACTGCTGATCATCTAGAAGCACATTGTACTGCACTATCTGAACTGAGGTCATGCTTTTCCTTGAGAAATCTTAAATTAATGAGCTTGTCAGGGTAATAGGGTATAGAGATTTCTGTCAGTTGGGTACTACCTTGGATGTAGCTGGAAGGTTTCTCCAGTCCTGCCTGGCTTCGTGGTCCCTCAGCCACTTATAAAATAATCATTTGGAGGCTTAATATTAATTACCAATTGCATGACCTATGGTAGGCTTCTTCTTAGCTAGCCCTTATAACTTAACCAATTTCTATTAATCTATAAGTTGCCACATGGCTGTGGCATTACTGGTCTGCTAGCATCTTGCTGTTCCTTAGGTTGAGACTGGCATCTCCTCCCTTCTTTCTTCTCTCCGTATGTCTGCTTGGATTTTTTCACTTGCCTTTAAGCTATCTTGCCATAGGCCAATGCAGCTTTATTTATCAACCAATCAGAGCAACACATATTCACAGTGTACAGAAAGACATCCCACAGCACTTGGAGGCTCTCTTTGTGACTAAACTTTGACGGCCTGATGCAGACTTGACATTTTTTCTACATGATTGGTCAGTCTGTCACCTATAAACTCAACCTCACTCAAGGTCTTAAGAGATGAGCATTACATAGACTAATTCATAGCCTCAATATCATGTGAGTGGCATCTAGTCCAATTCCTATAGTGTCTTTATTTCCTCCTACAAGTCTCATGAGCACAGTCTTTATTACTCCTGTACCTATTAGCATTCTGGTCTTCTGAACTGCCATCAAAATAATCTATGAAGATCTGTTTATCATATTCTAAACTTTTTCTAAGTAGTGTCTCCATTCCCCAAATTTCTTTCATAAGGTCATACCAACTGCATCTGACCCACATGGTGAGGAAATTACAATAATGACCCTAATTTTCATGGCAATTTCATTTTAACCAGTCCTTTGTCAGTGAAACAGAATACTTGAGTAAAATAGCTTAGAGAGGAAAAGATTTATTTATGCTGATGGTTCAGAGATTCAGGTCCAGGGTCAGCTGGGTTATTGTCTCAGGCTTATGATAAGGTAGAATATACCCCCCATTGGAGCATAAGGCATATCACACATATGTCTTCTCATAGCAAACAAGAAGCCAAAAGGCAAAGAGCTAGAATCCAGGAACCAAAGATACACTTTTAAAGACATATCTGTAATGACCCATCTCTCCAACTATGCCTTGCTTCCTCATAACTCACCAATGAAGTAACACATAAACAAAGTTAACATCTTCATAGTGCAAATATTTTCAATAATTCCACTAGATAGGGACAAAACTTTCAACATACAATTTTTTGAGACTTTATATTCAGACCTCAGTAGGGATGGAGACACTGGTGTCATCAGCCTGTCATCATCTTTCTGCTATCATATACTCACCAACTGTTGGTGGCCCCTCTAGTCACGTGAAAAACTAATACATACCCACATAAGTGAAGACCGTCCTTATGGACTCTACAACTCAGGGCTTGCTGGGGATGTCTTTCTGTATGCTGTGAATGTGTTGCTCTGATTGATTGATAAATAAAATGCTGATTGGCCAGTAGCCAGGCAGGTAGTATAGGATAGGTGGAGAGGAGAATTCTGGGAAGTGGAAGGTTGAGTCAGTAGACACTGCCAGCTACTGCCACCACAAGAAGCAAGATGTGAAGGAAGAACTAGGAAAAGGTACCAAGCCATGTGGCTAAACATAAAGAAGAATTATGGATTAATTTAAGTGTAAGATCTAACTAGCAAGAAGCCTGAGCCATTAGGCCAAACAGTTTTATTTAATATAAGCATCTGTGTGTTTATTTGGGTCTGAGCATCTGTGATCTGAGTAGGACTAGGAGAACTCCAGCTACAAGGGCTAAAGGGCTACTAATGAAATCATGGACTATCTGCTAAGTTACTGTGTTCTGTAAATGCTGCCATTCCATGAGCCACATAGATCCACAAACGATGTTTTATTTACATTTTAGAGACAATCTCAAGAATCCTTTCATGACACTTTGTAAAGCTCTAGATTTCAAAAGAACCCTCCTTGAGAAGCTTTGTTCTAGAACATGCTTTATCATTGTATTCTTGTTCTTAGTGTTCTGCCCATAAATTTCTCTTCTATGTAACTTACTCTTTTCCCTCCTGTCTTCTCTCTTTCATAAAAATTCTCTCTTCAAGTCTACTGTACTTGATACTTTGCTTCTGTTTTAGAGTGGTCTAGAGAAGAGAAAATGACTCACAGGATTTTTAAGGTTGAGGAAAAATTAAACTGACATAATATTAACATTATGGGATATGACTCATTATTATTCATTGTAATAATGAACTTGAGGTCCTAGAAACATTAATATAGTCCCAAACTGAAACATTAAAATTTAAAGTAAACTTTTTTTTTTTAAATATTTCTAGCAAACCCCTGTTGGTTATTTTTATCTTCTTGACATTGATGTGATGTAGGTTTTACTCTTGACTTTATCCCTCTGGCATTCTCCCCACTGACAGTAAAGTGCTACTTTATTCTATAAGTAAAAGACCCTGTTTATTTATTTGTCTATTCTTTCACAGCCCACTTTTTATGTTAAATCGTAGGTTTAATACAAAATGTGGCTCTGATTTAAGTGTGGTATATATGTCTATGTCCCTATGTGTGTGGGGTGGGTGGGTGGGTGTGGTTCATGCTGGTGCATGCATGTGTGGAAGCTATATTAAGATGTCTAGGGTTCTGCTCATTTATTTAATTCCTTTAGACAAGGGCATCTTTCTGGTGCTATGCTGGCAGACAGCAAGTTTTAGTGATCTCCTGCCTCCCCACCTCCACAGTGCTGGAGTTGCAGGCATAAGTACTAAGAATAAAAATCACATCCTTACATTTGTACAAGAAATGTTCCTAACCACTGAATATTTTCTCCAACTTGAATACTCAGTTTTTACATCACTTGGAATTTAAACTTTTTCCCCTTATAATAACTTATTAAATATCTCTATAGCAGATTGAGAGAAAAAAAGCAACTCACCATTGCAATTCACCTAGCATTGTAGCTAGGATGATACCTGCGGATTCCAGAAGGAAATCTTATAATTAGATTAGGTCTCTCTCAACTGTCTTTAACAAGTCTGTGCTTCTCAAGTACTTTAGCCTACTTAGGTGTCAGAGTGATGATCTTAGCATCAAACACTCGAGGCAAAGAATATTATAGAAAATTACCCATCATTCTTGTATCCATTGATCTAGTGTGTCAGATGATTAGAGCTGTTTCACAAAAGTGCATTTCCCATTAAATGTAATGTTCCCTTTCAAGTGTCAGCTATTTTTTTTTACTCCTTTTTGGTGAAAATAGATCAAAACAGCATTATGTATTTTATTGATTTTCTAAACTGTTCATGCTTAAATTTCTAAAATTTTATAAGATGACTCAGAGACAGTTTTCAACTGTAGAAAAGTCTTTCTGTGATGCATTAATTTCAGTATGCTCAAGCTCCTATAAGCAATGAGGGAAGTAGACTTACACGAATTATATAAAGGTAACATATATGTGTGTTACCTGTATTGTTTATGAATATAACCTCTGCTCTCAGTTCTTGCTTCTTCTATAAGCATTTACAGGTTTGTGTAAGTAACATACAGACCTCCTGGAAATGCTACTGTTTCCTTCTCTTATGGAGTCAACAGAAATGTTAAGCCTTCTCAAACCTAAAACTTGTTAGCCATTTTTCTTCTGAGGATGAGGATCCTTACCCAGGGAATTAGACATTTTTCTTCCCCCCAATTTTTGTAAGAAAATCTTAGTTGTTCATGTAAACCATTTAACCCCAACCTTTAGATCCCATGAACAGACCAGACCTTGTCTGTGTTCAAATTGAAATATCTAGGTTGCAATGGGATTCCTGACATTAAACACATATCTATATAGTGTCTCAAGAGCTGTTTATTTTTACTTACATCCTTCTTCTCCTATGCTCTATACCATGTGCCAAAGAGTTGTCAAAACAAACATAACAGCTAAGTATCTGGAGTAGTGGGGGCAGGATATGCAGGTGTGCTTGAGGCTGGCCACAGGAACAGACACAGACACTGAGAACTACAGGGGCATTTCTAACATAGTTAGGCCTCCTGCTGTGCTAGTTGGCAGATCTCATGCATAGACCTTTGGAGCACTCTCTGTGGCATATTGCTTAGCTGAAAACATTGTTGTGCATTTCAAAAATTGATCTTATGTGTTTGCTGCTCTTTATCTTTATGACCACGACTACTTATTTTACTGGTTCCTAACCTGTTAATAGAAACATTGATGCTTAGCAACTTCATGCTGTTGAAGACATATTATATATTGCATTACATAATATGTCTGAAACTTTGAATATTATAAATTGTTATAAGGTGTAAGAATTTACAGGAGCAGAATCAGTAGAGTTCACATGACATCACTTCCAACTTTTTTTAGAACCTTCCTAAGGAACAAGGAATTGATTTTCTGGCTGAATTCAAGATCTTTACTGACAGGAACATGTCCTGTCCTATTTGACAAGAATGTGGGTTAATGTATATAAAATATAGGAGCACACATTATACTTCCTTCTTGCTTCCTACATCTTTGTGTCTATAGCCATACCTCCCTGCATGCGCTCAGTCGGGTCTTACAACAGAGGCTGAGTAAGGTCAGGTCTGGTGAGTACTGGATGGGAGATCTGTTAGGAAAATGCTCCTGACAGAGCTTCCCTCAGCTCATTCAACTGTGCTCCATGTTCTGTCGGTGACTGAACATGGAAATGGAGTCCCTTCCTCATTTACAGTGATGGGCATTCAGATTCAGAGGAATGAATTGAGGAGTGGTCACTAAGCTTTTCAAGGTCTACCATTTCACAACAGAAGCACTACTCAGAAAATCCCATGTTCAGAATAATCAAAGTAATGTAGATATTAATAAAACCTGCCCATTACTTCTCAATGTTATTTTTCCTTTGTATTTATCTTTTTGTAGAGAATCCCTGGTGGGAGAATGAGTGTCAGCATTTCAGCATCGATACCACATGCCAAACTCCAACAGTAGGAGAGAAGGGAACCGATCAATGACTCTTGTGCTCCTGGAAACCACCTTCTGGTTGGGTGAGAAATGTTTGAATAAACAGCTCCGCCATCTCGAAGACAGGTGATAAGGATGTGCAAACTGCTTTGCAGCAAGCAGGTCTAGAAGGGTCAGGAAAGTTTTCAGAAAGTAATGGTGCCTGAGTTGAGCCTTAAAGGATAAGAGCTTGACTGTGGAATATCATAGACGTTGTTCTGGGAAAGGGGCAGGATAAGCTAATGCACAGGGCTCCTGGGGAGAAAACTCTTTGTGGTTTGGAACTGTTGGAGCATAAAGAGCAATGTGGGGAGTAATGAGAAATACTACAGAAATAGAAGGTGTGGTGTGCAGAGTGCAGGGTTTGTACCGTTAGGAGCTTGCATGTCCTCCTGCAGGCAAGGGGAACTCTTGGGAAAAAAGTCTTTAGAGCAGATGCTGGGCATGTGTGTTTCTCAAGACAGATTTTTACAACACTGTATTTGGTAAATTTGAGGATAATGTGACTGGAAACCACTTACAAGGATCTTGCTGCAGTGATTTAGATCAGAATTATAATTTGACAATAGCATTATATATGATTTTAAAGCCAAGACTCACTGTCTCTCAGTTTACATACATATTTTGCATGTATGCAGATGCTTTGAAAATACAGGCTGAGTTCTTCGGGCATGGAATCAGGAAAGTTGGGTGTGTTCTAGACTGGCTGCAGTGACTCATATAAATTTGCAAACACTGCAGAAAAGTATTTCTAACATATTTAGTCATCCTAGCACTCACTAGGAAATCACTTATGTCTATGCATTTGAAGTATCTTCAGTGGCAAATTGCTAGGTTGGGAAATATCATGGCATTTTAGACCAAAATTCTGTCTGTTATCAACACTTTACAATGTGATTAAGTTTTTTTTTTTTTATTTTGATGATAAATGATGGTTTGCTTTTCTTCTGTTTGAGAAAATAATTTAAAATCTTCAGGACCGTGGTAGCACAAGCTCTATTTATAATAGGTTTCTTAGAAGTGAATTCTTCAATTAAATGATTAATAGCTGTGATCACTATTCACCTAAAGAAACATTGTGCTTGACTACACATTCAGCATGATCTAATCATGACTTGTGACTAGACCTTTCTCCTCACCAAATACAATTTATGATGTTTACTCAGGTGTATTCTGGCATGTAGGAAAAGTCAAAGAATGTCCTAAGGTAGATGAAAAAGTCAAGTTGCAACTGTCCTCAAAGTGTCCCTCTTGTGCAACCTGATGTTTCTTGAGGTGTTACATTTCTCATTTGCCAACAACCAGTAACTTCATTCTGCCTTGGTACTTTTCCATGTGGGATTGCATTTTACTAGCTAGAAAAAAAAATTGAATTTGATTTCACAAAGGAGAGCACAAATGTTACATCTGCAGAAGAAATTAAAATTAATCATCAATTTCAAGAATAGTCTAATAGAGACACAGGAATGGTAGTCTACAACAGACTCACTCAATGCATCTTGACATGTTACCTTAGGCAATGCATCATCTCTATATTTATTACAAACTAATAAATTCTACCTTCGAAGTTTTTATTTTTTCATTTTCTTTTACTTTATTTATTTATTTATTTATTTATTTATTTATTTATTTATTTATTTATTTATAGTGTGTGCATGTGTGCACGTGTGCCACTTGTGGAGGTCAGAGGACAACTTGCAGGAGTCAGTGCTCTCCTTTCACCATGTGCCTTCCAAGGACCAAACCCAGGTCTTCAGGACTGAGGGTAAATGCCTTTATTCTCTGAGCCATCTAACCCAGGCCTGCAGTTTGCTTTTTAAAATTAATTTTTGAAAATAATGTATTTTTGACTTTTGGAGGAAGCATTACCCTCTGTGTAGGTTAGTTGCAATTCAAAATACACACACACACACACACACACACACACACACACACACACATTATATATGGAGCTACTGTCTAATTTGATTTAAGGCCTCCTGCACAGGATAAAATGCATGCTTGATACTGTAAATATTGCCAAGAATTTATGGTTGGGGAGTGCCTTAGTCACTATTGCTATGAATAGACACCATGACCACAACTCTTACAAGAGAAAGCATTTAATTGGGGATTTGCTTACAGTTTCAAAAGGCTAGTCCATTATCATCATGGGAGGGAGCATGGGAACAGGGAGCATGCTGCAGGCATGATAGGCATGGTGCTAGGGAAGTAGTTGAGAGCTGCATCATGATCTGCAGGCAGAAAGAGAGAGAGGAGGGGAGGGGAGAGAGAGAAAGAGAGAGTATGAGGGAGACAAAGACAGAGATAAGAGAGAGAGTGTGGGATGGAGGGAGGAAGGGAAAGAGAGAGGGGGGAGAGAAAGAGGGAGGGAAGGAGAGAGAGAAAAAGAGGGAGGAAGGGAGGGAGGGAGAGAGAGAGACAGAGAGAGAGGGGGAGACTGGGACTGGCATAAACTTTTAAAACCTCAAAACACACCCCCAGTGACATAGTTTAACAAAGCCGTGCCTCCCAATCCTTTTAATCCTATCAAAGAGTTCTACTCCCTGATGACCAAACATTCAACTATATAAGCCTATGAAGACCACTCTTATTTAAACCACTACAAGGGGCTTATAGGTCTCAGAGATAAACCTATTATTATTATTGTTGTTGTTGTACTAATGGACAGAGTATCAAACTGCCTTCTAAATTTGTGTCTCTCTACCCATAGATGAGTGCCTCTCTCTTGCCTCATCAACATTGGATGATGGTTAACTCAGAAACTCACAACTGATCAAAAGGCAGAGAATAAATGTCAGTGGAATATTTAGCCACAAGTGGAACATCTGTATCACCCATCCCTCAGGGCTCTATAGCCTCTGTAGAAGAGGAGGCAAAAATATTGAAGGAGCCAGAGGTCAGGGAGGACTGTGGAAAGTATCTTTTGGACATGACTTGACAGCTACACGAACGAACTCACAGCGGCTGTGGTTACCTGTCCAAGATCATGCTAATCAACATTCTAGTGTGAAGTGGGCAGGGGATCTCCACCTTCCTCTCTAGCTAAGGTGCTATTGGCAGTTGATCGTTTTTGGAGGAGGGAGAGTCAGTTTT